AGTGTTATAATCTGTATATAGATATATCATATCACAAACAATGCATATATTATCTAAAAACACCAGTCGGGTTTTACCTTTGACCCCGAGTTTCTTTGATCAAATGTTGCGTGGGGTCATCATGAACATTTGATCAAATGTTGCGTGGGGTCATGAACATTGAACAACGCAAGCTGTTACTTCTAGACTTCCTCTCGATCCAAGTTGCTACTCTTGAGGATGTTGTATTTGCAGAGTGGGCAAGTCGCGTTTATGTATAGCCATTTGTCTACGCATGAGCAGTGGAAATGGTGGCCACAAGGAAGTTCCCTTAGTTCTGTTCCGTCTTCATATGCAGAGAGACAGATGCAACATTCCTACATCATGCACAATCATAAAATCAGAAATCATAATTATCAGTGTATTGTTTGTTCTTCGAGGAGGAGGAGGTAATCCTGGTGTTGCATAGTATACTTACTGCATCCTCTTGCAAAATAGCATGTTCAACGGGTGAATCTGTACCACACTCGGTCATCACTCCCTCGGAGTTTCCTTGGGCTTCATCGCCAGCATGTTTGTTGACATCACCTACTTTTCGAAACTTGAATATGGTGAGCTGCTCAATGTCTTCTTTTGAAGCCCCTTCCTGCTTTTTATTGTGCCGGGTTAAAACAAATAGCACAACATGGCGGCTTAGGATATAAGACGAATTGGTCATGATGAGTACCTGATCTGCCACAGCGTATAAAACTGCAATGATGCATGGTAGGCAGCAGCAAACAGCAATGCCAATAACACAGGCCAGTGCAACACAGAAGACAACAAAGAACACATCGAAACCAAGAAAGACGATAGACAACCTGACATAAGCAACACATTCAGACATTAAGGCAGAATGATACGTTATCACTTACAAATATTAGAGATGGTGGAAAAAACAAACCAGTAAATCCGTGGGGATTCTCGTGCCAAGTCTTGGCCACCAGCGGAGACCCAGTAGAATCCAATGATCCACCATATAAATGAAAACATTGTGTTGGCAGATTCCAGATGCTTCGCAACACTATTTGAGAAACGGCGAGTGAAATAAGAAAACAACCCGAAACATGTATCACTCTTCTGGTTCTGGATTTGAAGGATGCAACAAGTATACAAAAATGAAAGAAAATAAGAGCGTGTAGCACGGGCATGCTGAATCCGTGTATGATTTCCCTATGTTTTGTTATAAGAAAAAAAGGCGTGAAACTACTGCAACTATCTGATTCCTTGACAGAGATATAATGAAACTAACTTGGAAAAAAATTGATGGGTAACATCACATTTTCTTCACAAGTTGCATTTAATCTCAATTAGAATGTAAAATGCAACACGGAACATAAAAGATACACTTTGCATAAAAGGTGCAAACCAAAGCTTTAGATAAGAAACCACTACAATTTGGGGGAGATTATAGAACAATAGCAAGCAATTTGATCATCCAAACCAAAACTCCACCTTTTGAGTATCACATCCAATCTTTTATAACATCAGCTGATAGCAACAGAAAATTAAGTGCAAAGAGCCTGAGTTCTTAAAGGCTACCAAACCAAAGCTCACAAAGTCATGCAAGTATCTACATATCAGTAATTTCGAAATCTAGACAAGCTTGAGCCAATACAGACATCAAATTTCCTGATGCAAACATCTTTATCTGCTTAAAGAACAGAAGAAGCCTAGCCACATACCTGCTGCTTTCGCTATCCAACTGCCCAAGCGACAAGTCCTGCTCAGCTGAATTCCTCCTCGAACCCAAAGCATCTTCCTCCATG